TTGATATCAAAATAAATTTCAAACTTTTTCAATTTCTTCATGCCTTAGAAACTTGGAGTCTTTAATATTCAGAACATAAAATTGCTCTGAGGAATAAATGAAATCCTGGAGATAAAGTGCACAGTGTCCACAGCACACATTGTTGGTAGCCTCAATGACTTCTGCTTCCTGGTCGCATTCCTCATAGGGCCTCCGTGGATTTCCTAGCCACTCTGTTTTGATAGGTTTGACATCTACTTCCAGGGGCAGAGGTTGGCCCTAGTTAGCTCAAGCAATTTAGAGTATTCTGTTTTCCTGGAACTCAGAGATTGATTTAAAGATGGCACATAACACAGTTTTAGACAATGAGACTGAGTGGACATTTTCTGTGGGCTTCAAGAATGAAGATTTCTTGCTCTTTTGCATGAACTCCCCAGAGAGATACCCCTCATCTCTGCTGGATGTAAATGAGGGGTAGCTGTTACTGGCAGCCATCATGAAAGGAAACCTGAGAAACAAAGGGAGAGAAAGAATCGAATTCAGTCTTTGGTGATATTATGAGCTGCTGGACCAAATCTCTTCTGTGAATATGTTAATTAAATGAATCAATACATTCTCTTTATTATTTAGGCCTATTGATTTCAGTTTTTTGTTATATCCGAGAAAAAAATTCTGTGTACCTCAATGTAAAATACCTTCACTAAATGTAATTTATTTTAAGTCAAATGGCAAAATGTTTTTAATTTAATTCAGAAAATTATTTAAAATATCAGTGATTTTTAAAAATAGGAAAGACATCCTAGCACCTGGTATTCTAGCATATGGCCTATAAAATCTCCCTAAGTGTTTTAATTTCTCTTCTGGAATGGAATATGAAAAAAATAAGACCTAGAAGGAAATATGTGGGTTTATATTCTTTAATTTACCATACAAATTAAAAATTTACACATCTAAGTTTAATCCTAGCAATATTCAACTACCTTGCCTACATCCCTCCTTGCTGCCTTTTATTTCACTATAGCTTGCTCTTTCTTGCCCCTGGAAAATGCCTCTAAATCCCTGAACCTGTCAAGTTTCACAAGCATGTAATTTTACTTTAGCTAAATTCTAAACACCAGCAAGAGGTGAATTTGACAAAGGAACTGTGAAAGAGTCTTATCTACAGTGACACAACTGCTACCACCCTAATATCTATTAAGTAGCACAGAATTATAGTGTAACAACTCTGAAATTGCTTGTGACATCTGCATGAATACCAAATAGATTTGTTATGTTCAGACTTATTGCAAAAAGCTCTTCCTGAATTTTAAATGATGAAGACTCTTACAAATTAATAGTTATCAAGTGAATTACTTTCTAATGTATATATGTTATTTAAAGATCGCAGTTCAGTTAAATGTAGGTAAGGGTGCAAGTGCTGCTGCCACGCACTAGCTATTGATGTTTGGAGAAGTAGTCCTAATTTTGAAAGCTTTCAAGTGGTATTATTTTAAGAAAAGTACACCTTCGCTTTAAGTGCTACCTGTCATTCACCCTGTCTCTCTGGAGATGAAGAAAAAAAGTAAAGAAGGAAGAAAGTGATAAATGTCCATATTATGAGGTTTTTGCCTTTTCGAAATCCCATTCCCCATTGCACTAGCTGGAATTTTATAGAGATATAAATCACAAAGAAATAAGAAGCCAGTAATGAGACAGAAGTGTATTTGAAATATGGATGCAAATTCTTACCACCTGCTGAGTGAAAGCAGTCTGCAGAGACTGTCCTGGAAAGCGAGGTGCCATTAGCATCTTGTAAGCTCTAAATTTGCAGCAGAAGAATAGAGAAGTTATGCCTGTGAAATGCCAAAGGCCACCCTGATTTATTTCCCAGCAGAATATTTCAGCCACATCTACATAAATATTTTAACAGGAATTTAATTTTCGTTTTAGTCACATAATAAATCTTTTTACTACATACCATCATTTTGTCCTAAATGAGTTGCCTTTTTCATGCAATTTGTGTTCATTCTTTTTTTCTTTTGATAAATACAATTTTAATATACAAAGGAACAATGGGTTTATTTACACAAGAGCCTTGCCATGGGCTGTTTAATCTTAGCCATGAATTCTATTTATTTTAATATGATTTACACAGCAGCTACCAATTGGCTCATATATAACTTCACAGTTTGTTCTTAGACCTTCAGAGCATCAGGAAAATCGGGGCAGTGAGGAGTTGTGGAGTTCAAGTAATGTTAGATGTGGATGTTCTTTTTGGATATGGGCTTAGATGCATTGGCTGTAAAAGTATACACACTGCTCATTTCCATCCGATTGTCAGAGTGTTTCATCAAGTGGAATGTGAGAATTGTGGATTGTGTGGGGTTGATGGAATCTCGCCTTATTTAAGTTTTGTGCGTCACCCTGTTTGCTTGACTATGACCACATTGTAAACAGTGAAAGTGATGATAACTACTTTTGAACCCCCTAGGAGGAAAGTAAAAGGTATTGCTTTTCATATACTTGCTGAGAAAACATACAGCACTAAGCAGACTCTTGGTTTGATGCATATTGGATGCTTTATCCTGGAACCAATTACTTAACCATGTCTGACAGCTATGGTCAAGACACTGAAGGTGACACTTGCAAAGGGTCAATCAGCTGGTGGTTTAGGCAACCATAGTCTCTGTCTGTATCATCTCCCCTTAAATTTTGCTTGAAAATATTTTATTTCATAATCTTTTACTTTAAAATGTAAACAGAATTGAGAGTTTAATTTTGAGGACTGGGGAACCTAAAAAACTTGTAATACAATGATAAAATCTCTACAAATCTTTGTATCTTTATCAAAAATTGTTGAAATTGAAATTAAGGTTGAATAAGCAGGATGGAAAATAGTTTCATATTTTGTTGGAAGAGGTGATATATAAAGAAGGGTTTAAGATGTGTGAATATTTTTTTCAGCATTCCAATTTGTATAGAAGAAAAATATTTATTTTCTGAATAACTCTTATTTAAAATGATAACACCATTATGTTGGCTAACTACAGCCAAAGTTCTAGTTTTTGAGGCCATATCTTTATTCCTAAGTAACTGATGAGAATTAAAATTAATTTTTTCACTTGAGGCCACTTATATCAGTTTTGCAAATATTTGCTTTTTTACTTGTTTTTGTCGGTAGTTTATTATGTGGTTCTAAGATCTAACAAATATCTTTGCTCTCATCTGTGTGACAAGCCTGAGTGTCTCCCTGAAAATATATGATGACAACAGAGCAATAAAATCTCATAATTTTTAATAGATGGATATGGGATGAGAAAAAATTGATTAGTTCAGACTTGTCCATCCACTTATTACTTACAGATGGCCCTCTCTGGCTTCTCTGATTTTTTAAATATCTTACTTTGTTGTTTGAATTTTTAACAAAGAAAGTCTATTATCTTTGTGTAAATGAAAACATTTCTTTCATTCATACTTAATAGACTAATAAACTCAGTCTTGTGTATACTGTCGTTTTCTCCACTAGCTCTGTCTGAATGTGTTTTTCCCTCTATTTTTGCATGGGAATCCTAGAGATGTTTATGTCCCAGTTCATATGCTACCTTTAATTGTTTACACTTACATTTATGCATGTGTTAATCCATTCATTGTGTGTTATGAATCATGCACAATTGTAGAAACTACAGAGACAGCTCTAAAGGAGGCAATATCTCTCCCTACAGCTTCCTGGAAACATCTCATTCTCTCTTTATTATTTCATATTATAAGGTGTGTGAGGCTATACTATATATTTGATTGATCTTCGTGTCTCTAACAAGTTCCAAGAGAGTGGCTTACACACACTAAGCACTCATAAATGTTTATCAAATGAGGGAATAAATTACCTTGCCCCATTTATGAGGATGTGGTTTGCCAAGCACAAATAACCTTAGCACAAAAATCAAGTTAAATTAATAAAATATAACTTTGGTTTAATTGTACCTATGATTTAATTATAGTGTATAATATGATGTACTGACTAATAAATCCTGAATCTACCATTTATTAGTTCTGTATGTTGTACCTCAGTTTCCTTATTGTTAATATGCAGATAGTGATAATTCATAAGGAACTGAGTCAGTTATTATTTGAATGAAATAGGGTAAGGTGTGCAAAGCTCTTGAGCTTAATGCTTGATTTGTGCTGAATTCTCAAAAAATCTTTTTTTTCTTTGAGACAGAATCTTCCTCTGTTGCCCAGGCTGGAGTGCACAGGTACAGTCTCCACTCACTGCCACCTCTGCCTCCCAGGCTCAAGCAATTCTCCTGCCTCAGCCTCCTGAGTAGCTGGAATTACAGACACAGGCCACCATGCCTAGCTAACTTTTGTATTTTTGGTAGAGATTGAGTTTTGCCATTTTGGCCAGGCTGGTCTTGAACTCCTGGCCTCAAGCGATCCACCTGCCTCAGCCTCCCAAAGTGCTGGGATTACAGGCATGAGCCACCATGCCTGGCCAAAAATTCTTGTTATTTTGTATTAGTTGCTGTAATCATAGTTATTAGTATTAATGTCTGAGGCTTTGATTTAATTCCCTCTTCTGCCGACTCCCATGAAATAGCAAAGTTATCTGTTTTTGGAAGTTAACAATGTCAGAAGCTTTCTTTTTCAGTGTACGTGTGTGTGTGTGTGTGTGTGTGTGTGTATAAAATGTGTATATATGTGTATATACATATGCATATATAAGCTATATAGTATATATATCTATATTTCTATGTATTTATATAAAGTATTTATGTTAATATACCTAGCATCTGATTACAACTCAAGTTGTCAGGCTTAAAGTTCACTGCAGTGTTTGGGCTGTCACATGAGCCTACAGTGAAAATAAAGTAAATATATCCTGATGATCACTTTTTTCCACGATGTTCTTTTAAACTAGAGGTAATAAGTATATATATTTTATCTTTCACTTTTGTTAAATCTGAGAAAACTGTTTCTGTTCTGATTACCAAATCTTCTGTTTATTCATTTCTTTTCCAGGGAGTTGAAAAATACATGGCTTTCTGACAAGGAGAAGACTGAGCTCCAAGCAAGTCATATTCCTAGAGACAGGAACCTGGGCAAGGTAACACTGTTAATAAGAGTTTCTTAAAGAAAAATATGGTTTTGATTTGCATTTCTCTGATGGCCAGTGATGATGAACATTTTTTCACGTGTCTGTTGGCTGTATGAATGTCTTCTTTTGAGAAATGTCTGTTCATATCCTTTGCCCACTTTTTGATGGGGTTGTTTGTTTTTTTCTTGTAAATTTGTTTGAGTTCTTTGTAGGTTCTGGATATTAGCCCTTTGTCAGATGAGTAGATTGCAAAAATTTTCTCCCATTCTGTAGGTTGCCTGTTCACTCTGATGGTAGTTTCTTTTGATGTGCAGAAGCTCTTTAGTTTAATGAGATCCCATTTGTCAATTTTGGCTTTTGCTGCTGTTGCTTTTGGTGTTTTAGACATGAAGTCTTTGCCCATGCCTATGTCCTGAATGGTACTACCTAGGTTTTCCTCTAGGATTTTTATGGTATTAGGTCTAACATTTAAGTCTCTAATCCATCTTGAATTAATTTTCGTATAAGGAGTAAGGAAAGGATCCAGTTTCAGCTTTCTACTTATGGCTAGCCAATTTTCCCAGCACCATTTATTAAATAGGGAATCCTTTCCCCATTTCTTGTTTCTCTCAGGTTTGTCAAAGATCAAATGGCTGTAGATGCCATCTCACACCAGTTAGAATGGCGATCATTAAAAAGTCAGGAAACAACAGGTGCTGGAGAGGATGTGGAGAAATAGGAACACTTTTACACTGTTGGTGGGATTGTAAACTAGTTCAACCATTATGGAAAACAGTATGGCGATTCCTCAAGGATCTAGAACTAGATGTACCATATGACCCAGCCATCCCATTACTGGGTATATACCCAAAGGATTATAAATTATGCTGCTATAAAGACACATGCACACGTATGTTTATTGCAGCACTATTCACAATAGCAAAGACTTGGAATCAACCCAAATGTCCATCAGTGACAGATTGGATTAAGAAAATGTGGCACATATACACCACGGAATACTATGCAGCCATAAAAAAGGATGAGTTTGTGTCCTTTGTAGGGACATGGATGCAGCTGGAAACCATCATTCTTAGCAAACTATCACAAGAACAGAAAACCAAACACCGCATGTTCTCACTCATAGGTGGGAACTGAACAATGAGATCACTTGGACTCAGGAAGGGGAACATCACACACCGGGGCCTATCATGGGGAGGGGGGAGGGGGGAGGGACTGCATTGGGAGTTATACCTGATGTAAATGACGAGTTGATGGGTGCAGCACAGCATCATGGCACAAGTATACATATGTAACAAACCTGCACGTTATGCACTTGTACCCTACAACTTAAAGTATAATAATAATAAATAAATTAAAAAAAAAAAAAAAAAGAAAAATATGGTGGAAGCCGAAACGGTTTAGCCAGCCTCTACCTTCAGCTATCTATTGCAGTTAAGTGAGAATGAAAGCAAACTTTTACATTTCCTGCCCTTAAACAAAGGAAAGCTTTATGTGTAAATTTTCTTACTCTTTTTCTTTGTGATCTGAGATTGGGTAAAGTCAGGGAAGGAAGACATATATGACAGAGCAATATCAATTACGAAGACCTTAGTTTCCAGGCAGAGCGTTTGAGATTTCAGCTTCAGACATCCATTTAATGTTTTAAATTGTGACAATAAGCCTTTGGTTGGTCAATGTTAAGTGGCTGGACTTTATGAAATATGTTTTGCCATCTCAGTTCATTCCATTGTATCCATGTTCCAGAGCCAGGATGCAGAAAAACTGATCTCATCCTTTAAAACACAGTTTTTTAAAACTTAACACTGTTGACATTTTGAGCCAGGTAATTCTTTGTTCTGGAGGACTCACCTCTACATTGAGGGATGTTTAGCTTCATTCCTGGCCTCTCAGTAGATGCCAGTAGCACCTCTCCAAAACTGTGACAGCCAAAAGTGTCTCCAGACATCGTTAGATGTCTCCTGGGGGGCATAATCATTCCCAGGGGAGAAACACTGATTTAGAAGAATAATTAATGAATCTACATTTAGTGAGTACTAATTATATTTCAAACGCTGGGCTTGGAGCTTTACATTTAATCCTTACAACAACTCTAAAATATAGGTATTATTGCTTTCTGTTTTAAAAAGAAATGGAAATCCAGAAAGATTAAATAATTTTCCTAAGATTACATAGTAAATGATCAACATGTTTTCCTTACTACGTTGCCCATCTGATTATTCTTTTGACACAGAGACAGAGCTACTGAATCTTAACATTCTTAGTTGCAAAAATAGCAAATTATGAAAAAGGAAGAGGGAAAATTTCAGATAGTTCCAGTTTAGAATATAGAAAAAAAAGGTATCAAAGTATAATGGTCATTATGAAGTATAAAATGAGAATGAATATGAAGGCTCCAAGATATTATCATTAATTAATACTTTAGTTCATTTCTGGACTCAGTGTTTGATAATCATTTCTTTTAAGATGTCAAATTTCCTTCATTAAGTAGTTCTTTCATCACACAAATTAGAGACCCAGGGGACATAAAAACCAAATGTATCGTGGAATCTTAGATTCGATCTTGGAGCAGAAAAACACATTAGTGGAAAAGCTGCTGATATGAGTGTTTTATTTCATAATATGGTTCCAATGTTAATGTCTTAGTTTTGATAATTATGTAATAGTTATGCAAGATGTCCACATTAGGGGACAGTACCTGAAGGGTATATGGGAACTTTCTGCATTATTTTTGCAACTTTTCTTTAAATAAAACATTTATACATTTTATAAAAAATTTAAAACACAACAAATGTAAAAGTTAAAAACAAAACCATATTGTATTAAGAAGCAGGAGATCTGGGTTTCTATTGCTAATCTACTACTTTCTACTATCACTTTTATCTTGGGAAAATAGTTACAATCTATACATTTTAGTGTTCCAAATATGATAAAAGATGGTAATGATTTAACCAATACAAAGGTGTGGGACTCAATATCCCATAGCTTTGTAAGACTGCTTGCTTCTAGCTCTGATAAATAATTTTCTCTTTGTCTATCATGTGCCAATCTATCATTCTAATATCGATCTCATCATTTCTCTCTCTATATATCTCCATCTAAAACACATGTACACATACATACACATAGAACTTTCTGCTAAAACACATTCACATTAAACTTTAATTTTGATTTTAAACTAGAGTATGAAACAAGTATTTAAGAACAGTGGAAGTAAATTTCACTGGCCAAGAGGATTTAGTATTACATTACTCAGTCATCACACTAATATGGGTTTCTTAGGCAGATGAAAGATGAAAGGAGGTTGTGCTCATAATGAGAATGAGGCTACATACCTAATGTTCTAGAACTGCCATTAAGAAATGCAAGTATATCACTGCTCGATTCTGCTGAGATATTTTCCCTTATAACCATGTAGGAAACTTAGATAAAAATGAACATTATTTGGAAAGTTTAGGATTCCTTCCTTAGAACATCATCTGTCCCTAAACATCGCACCATCTGTTCCCAAGGTTTGCATAAGAGGTACTACTATGGGGTCAGCATAATACTGGATACATTACATAGATTGATGCACTTAATGTCTGAAAGGAGGTTTTAATGATAGACAGGTTTTTGATACCTCCAAGAAGTGAATGTTGATTTTAAATAATAGTGAGACTATCTGAATCTTCTCACAAAGTTCCTTGGGAAAGCTCTTACTCATAGTTTACATAGTATTGCATGTTACTATATCATTAAAACACATTTAAAAGTTGTGTGTTCTACTTTAGATTGTGATTGATATCCATATTTTAATTTGATTGATTGGAAAATTGCAAGGAGATAGCCACATACAGATACAAAATGAACAGTTAGAGCTTCTTTTTGCAACATCAGAGGGTAGATATCCGTATGAATTGGCAGTTGGTGACACTATGTGCAGTTGTAGCTTTGATCTGTAAGTAATGAGGTTTTAAAAATATATATATTTCATAAACATATTACTATTGGCTGTGGCTTCTGAGATTTTGAGCAGTTTCATATTGATGAGGCAAGGTATTTCTCTACTTTGCCCACAAGGCAAACATAATAAATGAAGACTGTGTTGGAATAGTCATATATTACCCGTTAATTTACCACTGAAGTTCCTGAGCGTGTGGAGGTGTTACCATTCTTGGCACTGACACTCCATTTTTCCCCTTAGCTTTGAAAAGATTTAATTTCTTCTTATGGTCCTTTTGCTTCCTTTCGCCTGTATGTTTCTCCTTGGTATAATTATAATGTTGTTCCTTCAGGTGAAATCAAAATTGATATTTCCCTTTTCATAAAGAATCAGAGAAAAAGACCCAACCGAGTTGCTTAGTATTACTTTAGGAGAAGAGAGTCACTAAAGAGCATGTCATTTTTTTCCCAACCAATCTGAATTTATAATCCTCTTCCCCTACCCAAGTCAATTTCAGGCCATTTTCCCTTTGATATATAAATTGAGAATGTAGAACCTTCTATGAGTCTTTAGAGGTGCCTCCTGCACCCTCTTCCCTGTTTCTGGCTGATATGGTTTGGCTGTGTCCCCACCCAAATCTCGTCTTGAATTGTAGCTGTCATAACTCCCACGTATTATGGGAGGGATCTTGTGGGAGATAATTAAATCATGGGGGTGGTTTCCCCTGTACTATTGTCATCCTAGTGAATAAGTCTCATGAGATCTGATGGTTTTGTAAGGGGAAACCCCTTTCGCTTGGTTCTCATTCTCTTTCTTGTCTGCTGCCATGTAAGACATGCCTTTTGCCTTCCACCATGATTGTGAGGCCTCCCCAGTCACGTGGAACTGTGAATCCATTAAACCTCTCTTTCTTTATAAATTACCCAGTCTTGGGTATGTCTTCATTGGCAGCATGAAAACAGACTAATACACTGGTCTTTAATACATCTAGTAGAGTATGAATATTCCAAATTAAACCAAAGAAACAAGTGCAATTGTTAAGACCTTCACTCTCCAATACCTCTCACAATAATGCTAATCAAGATTT